AACCATAGGTAATTTTATTTAACTCAATTAGATATCCAAAGATTCCCAATTCTTAAAGATAAGATTGTTAACAGATTCCTTTTTTCTTCTTTTTTTTTGGTGTTCTCAGTCTCCTTATTATTTGTCAATCTGAGGAGCAATAAGAAGTTAATGAATTGTTTTAATTCGTAGTTCTTTAAATTATTAGTAATACTGAATTTGTATCTTCCATATGCTTATTAGTCATTTGCATTCTTTTGTTTTTCTTTTTTCTTTCGAGACAGGGTCTTGCTCTGTCACCCAGGCTGAAGTGCAGTGGCATGATCACAGCTCACTCGAACTCCTGGGCTCAAGTGATCCTCCCTCCTCAGCCTACTAAGTAGCTGGGACTTTAGGTGCATGCCACCTGGCCAGGCCTGTAATTCTTTTTCTGTAATTGTGTTGTTCATATTCTTTGATCATCTTTCTATAGGCATTTTTATAAACACCTTCATTGACATATAATTCACATAACATACAATTCACACATTTAAAGTGCACAATCCAATGGTTTTTAGTATATTTACACAATTGGGCAACCGTAATCACAAACAATTTTAAAATTTTTTCACCATCCCAAAAAGAAACTCTGAACCTATTACTCCTAAATCTTCTAGCCCCAGGCAACCACTAATCTATTTTCAGTCTTTATGGATTTGAGTATTGCAGACATTTGCTATAAATAGAATCATACAATATATGGTCTTTTTTGACTGGCTTCTTTCACTTAGCATAACGTTTTCAAGGGTCATCCATGTTGTAGCATATATCAGTACTCCATTCTTCTTTATTGTAAAACAGTATTCCACTGTATGGACAGATCACATTTTATTTATCCACTTATCAGTTGACAGATATTTGGGTTGTTTCCACTTTTTGGCTATTATGAATAATGATGCTATGAACATTCATGTATACATTTTTACATGGATGTATGTTTTCGCTTCACTTGGGTATATACCTAGAAATCAAATTTCTGGGTCATATGGTAATCTGTGTTTAACATTTTGAGGAACTGCTACACTGTTTCCAAAGTGGCACCATTTTCTATTCCCTCAATATATGAGGGTTCTAATTTCTCCACTTTCTCTAATTTTCCATTTTATTGATTATAGCCATCCTACTGAGTGTGAAGTGTACCTTATTATAATTTTGGTTTGCATTTCTCTAATGACTGATGACACTGAACATTTTTTCATGCACTTCATGGCCATCTGTATATTTTCTTTGGAGAAATGTGTTCGAGTTCTTTGCCTGCTTGTTAATTGGGTTGTCTTTTTGTTGTTGAGTTGTAAGAATTCTTTATATATTTTGGATACAAGTCCCTTATCAGATCTATGATTTGTAACTATTTTATCCTGTCCTGTAGGTTGTCTTTGCACTTTCTTGATGGGGTCCTTTGAAGCACAAAAGTTTTAAATTTTGATGAAGTACAATTTATCTATTTTTCTTTTATCACTTGTGTTTTTGGTGTCCTTTATAAAAACACTTTGCTGAACCCAAGGTCATGAAGTTTTTTTTCTAAGCGTTTTATAGTTTTAGCTTTCATGTTCAGGTGTAATTTTTGTGTGTGGTGTAAAGAAGGGGGTTCAAATTCATTCTTTTGCATGTGGATATCGAGTTGTTCCAGTAGCATGTATTGAAGACTTTTCCCCTCATTGAATTATCTTGGCACCCTTGTGGAAAGTCGATTGACTCTAAATGTAATGGTTTATTTTTTGGGGATCTCACTTCTATTCTATTGATTTACACATCTATCTTTATGCTAGTACCATGTGTCTTAATTAGTGTAGCTTTGTAGTAAGTTTTGAAAATGAGAAGTGTAAGTTCTCCAATTTTGTTTCTTTTCAATACTGTTCTGGCTATTCCTGGTCCTTTGCATTTCCATATAAATTTTAGGATCAGCTTATCGATTTCCACAACAAAGGCATCTGGGATTTTAATAGGAATTGCACTGAATTTACAGATAAATTTGGGAATCTCTTCACAATATTAAACCTTCCAACTCACAAACATGGGATATCTTTCCATTTTTTAGGTCTTCTTTCTTTTTAACAGTGTTTTGTTGTCCTCAAATTATAAATTTTGCACTTCATTTATTATTAAATTTATTCCTAAATATTTTATTCTTTTTGTTATTATTAATCGAATTATTTTCCTAATTTCATGTTTGGATTGTTCATTGCCAATATAAAGAAATACAATTGATTTTTTACATATTAATCTTGTATCACAAAACTTTGCTGAGCTTGTTTTTTTAAGCCCTAACAGTTTTTTAGGGGATTCCAGGGAATTTTCTATATTTAAAATCACATCATTTTCAATAAAGATCTTTTTTACTTTTTACCTTCCAATCTGGATACCTTTTATTTCTTTTTCTTGCTCAGTGATGCTGACTGAACTTCCAGCACAAGATTAAAAAAACATAGTAAAAGTTCCTTGTCTTTTCATGATCCTAGAAGGAATGCATTCAGCCTTTAACCATTAAATATGATGTTACCTGTGGGGTTTTCACAGATGCTTTTTATTAGGTTGTGCAAGCTCCTGTCTATTCCTAGTTTGTTCATTGTTTCTATCTGAAAGGGTGTTGGATTTGTCAAATCCTTTCTCTTCATCTATTATGACATTCACGTTTTTTCCCCTTTAATCTACTGATATGGTATATTACATAAATTGAGTTTTGAATGTTAAGCCAATCTTACATTCCTAGGATAAATCCCACTTGGTCATAGTACTTCATCCTTTTTATATGTTGCTGGACTTGGTTTGCTAATATTTGTTCAAGACTTTTGTGTCTATATCATAAGAGATATTGATCTGTAGTTTACTTTTCTTATGGTGCCATTGTTTGTAATAATTTAAGAGTCTTTAACCTTTTAAGGTAGCAATTCTAGCAAAGTATTTTTAATGACATAAAGAATCATGGGACAATATTTCAGAAAGGCAGATTGGCAAATACGAAAGCACTGAAGACATAACTGGGAAACTTTGAGTAGGGACTTCTTGACTGCATGGAAACCGTGAGCCTAAAGGACGTACTACATTAACACACACCTAATAGTGCTTAAAACTCAGCCATTTAAAAGATACAATCATTGCTTAGGTTTTCAATTTAAAAAATTATACGACCAAAATAAGGTTTAAAACTTACGTTTCACCTGCTTTTGGTTTTACTATTTTTACATTTCAATTTTTTCCTTAAAAGGAATGAGTCATCTACAGGGGAGATAAATACTTCACATATTGCCACCGCCCTTGCTTTCAGTTTTAATCCTTCTAAACCTTATTTTGAAATGTAAATGTCATCATATAACTCTCTGACATACAATTTTTCAGAATGTGGCCTTTGCTTACATGGTGACCTTCAAACACTTTAGCCCTGCTTGGAAGGGCTGCATGGCCTGGCTTCCCTCTCTAGCTTCACCTATCGCTATTGTCACCAAATCTAAGCCACTCTGGACTTTCAGCTGCTTAAATATACCAGATTTCCTTTCTTTCCTGGGCTTCCCCTGCAAAGTTTTCTCCCTACAGTATGTTCTTCCACCGGCCTACTCATCCCTCAGGTTCCAACTTAGATGCCTCATCTCCAGGAATCTCTACTTCACCTTCAAAGTCTGGGTTAGGTGCTCCACCTCTGAACTCTCGGAGCAATCACAGGCCTTCAATTTATAGCACTCACCACTCTACTTAAAACTGTTCATTTACCTGTATCATTCAGGACAGTGTAAGTTCTGTTAAAGCAGGAACCATGTCTACTTCAGTGTCTAGCACAGAGACAGCAACTCCTTTGTAGTTGCTGTTCCCTCTGTATGGAATATCCTAACCCACTCGAACATTTGGTGGCCTCCTATGAAATTCTTACTTTTGTTTAATTATTACATTCTTGGTGAAGTCTTCTCTGACCCCTCCAAATTCTCTCCAAACTCAGGTAAGTTATGTCTCCCAACCTCTATCTATCTCTATTTGTATTATAACTGCCTCACTATTGACATTACCAATTCCCAGTGATTAGCACAGTGCTTAGTATATAGCAAATGCTTACAAAAAGTTTTCTGAATGCAGAAGGAAATAATAAATAGGCATATAGGGAGAGGGGATAAATTTAAGGAAATTTGTAGGAGACTGTAATATATGAGTGGACTAAGCCAGATGCAGTGGTTGACGTCTGCAATCCTAGCACTCTGGAAGGCCGAGGTGGGAGGATTGCTTGAGGCCAAGAGTTTGAGACCAGCCTGAGCAAGAGCGAGACTCATCTCCACAAAAAACAGAAAAATTAGCCAGGTGTGGGGGCACACACCTGTAGTCCCAGCTACTCGGGAGGCTGAGGCAAGAGAAATTGCTTGAGCCCAGGAGGTTACAGTGAGCTACGATGATGCCACTGCACGCTAGCCCAGGTGACAGAGCAGGGGGAAAATAAAGAGTAGACTAGGGCTTCACTCTAGAAATAAAAAGAGAAAGGATCCAGGAGACTGTTTTAGGAAGGTCAATATCCCTGATTAATAGACTAAACATACAGAGAGCAGGAAATGAAGACAAGAATAAACTGTAGGTGATCAAGGTACATAAGGGTAGAGAACATGGCAAATAATGGGAAAATTGCAAGGGAGAAAATGGGCTTAACATCTACCAATAGATGCTTAACAAATGGTTACTGTCAATCATGATGTTTAGTTCTATATATTGGTAAGATATTTAGAGAAGACATAGAACATGTGTTGTATAGTGCTTAATTGTAAATGGATGAGAAGAGTAAAAGTAAGAAATAACCTTCCATGTAGCAATAATACATTTTAAATTTAACTTCCTAGGAAGTGTATAAGTTTTAAATAGGCATCTCCATATTATATGACAAGGAAAGCACATTATGTGCATATGTATATATCAGTCCTCTAATAGTATTTCACATGAAGTGATCTGGTATACAAAAAGTAGAGTGAAGATTACTGGGATAAAAGACAAAGAATAACATGAAGAAAATAAACTTCAAATTACCTGCATATAATACAGTCTCTATGCGATCTTTAATATGAGCCCTGCTACTCTCTGAAGCAAGAAGAGGTGATGTCCCGTTGGGAGCTGGAACAACAAGTGGTCCAACTAAAAAGGCACAAGCTCCACCAAGATAACTAAGCATTGACGCAATAGCCGTGGCAGTGGCCCGTTCGTCTGCAGAAAACCACGTCGTGGAAAGAAATGGTGCTGCATTCATTACAGTCGGACCTGCCAGTCCATTTAACATCTGTCCACCATGAATTAATCTGGAATTAAAAAAATTAAAAGCCTATAAGGTATCTGAAGCAGACATTTTCTAAGGCAAAAAGAAATTAGCCAAATAGTAGTTTATATATGGCAATAATTATCTAAAGTATATGACACACTTGAAAGGTAAGTTGACTTACCTTCTAAAAGGTATGTTGATCCTCTATGAGGGAGATCAAATATAGTAATAATTACCATTTATTCATTTCACAAATATTTACTGAAGCCTCTGATTTGTGCCACATACCAAACTAATACTTCTTATAACCTTGTTTAATTGTTATAACAACACCATGTGGTCGCTATTATTATCCCCAATTATTGAGATATGGAAGCCTAGGTTTAGAAAGATTAAGAATCTTGCCCAAGTGCTGACAGGCATGAGATTTAGATCCAGGTCTGACTCCAAAATCCATACGCTTTCTACGAGACTGCCCC